GGGCCGCGCGCGGCGTCCTCTGCAGCGGCCCCCAGCTACGCGCCGCCGCCACCGCCGCGGCCGCAGCCGCTGATCGTCGCGGCGGCTGCGCGGCAGCAGCAGCCGCCGCAGGCGCAGCAGCAGCAACAGCAGCAACAGCAGCAGCAGCAGCAGCGGCCGGCGGCGGCGGCGGCACTGCCGCCGCACCTGTCCATGATGCTGGCGAGGGAGACGGAGACCTTTGGCGCAGGGCCCTCAGAACACGCCGCGCCGGCCGCCGCGCCGCTGCCGTTTGACAGGCTCTTGGGATTGGCCGACCTGGGGCTGGCGGGCAGGGCCGCCGCCGCCACGTCGCCCGCGGCGCCCCTTGTGCAGCACCCCGGCGCGTTCGCGCACGCGGCGCTGGGCGGCGCCGCCGCCGCGCCGGCCGGGAGCTTCCCGGCCAACGGCGTTGGTGGGGTCAGCGGGCTGCACATCGGCGCGGCGGCGCGGCGGGGCAGCAGCTTGGGGGGCGGCGGGCTCGGCGGCGGCGGCGCGAGCGGGCAGTCGGCGGCGGCTGCGACGAGCGCAAGGGGTCTGGCGGCGCAGCTTGTCGGGCGGCTTGACGCGTTGACAGATCTGCTGTGCTGCCCCATCACACAGGTGCGGGCTGACTTGTCAACGGTGCACCGGCCTGCGATGCGCAGGGCGGGGGGTTGCTGTCGGTCTGCGTGTGGGCATGTGTTAGCTGATGGTTGACATTATTTCTGATCTACTGTGGCACACTGACAGCGAAGCTCGTCACACCATGTGTGTGCCAGAGGCAAGGGGGGACAACAGTGCGGCAAGGGCAAACCACAGCCCCCAAACGGAGGCGCCGCCTCTAGCTTTTGCAGCCAGGGGCAGCAGCTGCATGTCATCTTGCACCTGGGCATTCGCCAATGCCGATCAGCGCCGCGATGCGATGCCTGTCGTCATGATATGCACTCCTCGCCGCCGCCCTGCCAGGAGCCGTTCCGAGACCCGGTGGTCGCGAGCGACGGCCAGACATACGGTGGGGAGCAGCGCGCGCGCCCGCATGCTCGCGCGCCGCGGACGCACGCGCGCGTGTGCGAGCAGGCACCCTTGCTGCCCGCACGCATAGCTGCATCTGCTCGCGCGGAGCGCCAGGGCTATCCACGCGTGCCAACACCCACCAGTCACAAGAAGCAACAACCATCCGCCGCCCCCGACCTCCTGTCGACCTTGCATGGCGCAGAGCGGGCCGCGATCCTCTCCTGGATGAGTAAGAGCGAGACCAGCCCCCTGACTAACCAGCCGTTAGTCAGGGGCGCCCTCGTGCCCAACAAGCTTATACGCGCGGTCGTGGACGAGCTGGCGCTGCTGCAGCAATGACTGTGTGACGTATCACGTGCGCGCCTCGTCACGGGCTCTCGTCCTGCGCTGCCGTGCCGACAATTTTCAGGGCCGCCGCAGAGAGCGCGACGCGGCGACACAGGGTGTGCTGGGGCCGCTGCGTGGGTTTAGATGTGCAGGTCGCGCCGCTGGATGAGAGGCGGCGTCGCGTATTTCCAGGCAGCCGTGGTGGTAGTGGTGGGGGGCGACGTCGGGGCGGCTTGGGGGGGGGGGCACCGGCTGCTCGACCGCGTGCTTGCGAGTAGGCGAGCGAGCGAGGCGGCAGGCCGGGGCGCGGCCAGGTGGGAGCGTGCGGGCCAGCTGTTACGACCCACCAGCGCCGTCGGTGGGCCCGGGGTATTTCGCGCGGCTCCTGCTTTGGGCCTGCCGCGTGGCGGCCCTGCCCAGCATGGCGTTCCAAATGTTGGTTTTCAACTCGTCGTCGTGCCATGGCACATGCGGGCACCCCAACCAGCCTGGCTCGCCGCTGCAGAGCGCTGAGCACGACGCCGCTTGCGCCTTTGGCGGGTACGCCGTACACGCCGATTTGACCAAGCAGTGCTGCAATGCGTGTGAATAGCGTCGGTTGTTTTGCGGGCTTGCTTACTGTGCAGCGTGTGGGCCGTCTCCACCTGGATTATGAGCGTCATCATTGTCTTGAATCCAACTCAGAGGATCTTAGTGAAAGGTGCTTTCCAATCCGATTCTGTTGTGAGTCATTGCTGCCTAGAAGGCCTCTTGCATCCTTGGTGGTTGGAGGCACGCACATGTGTGTCGTGCTGCAGTGTGCTGGTGCCTGTGTCGGGTTGCCTCTGCGCCCCAGCCCCTTTCTTGGCCTTGTGTGGCTTTGGCAGGGCCCCTTGCGCATCGTCAACCGCTGAATGAGCCTTGTTTGTATGTGTAACACGTGCCTCCTCTCCACACCAGCAAGGGTCCAAGAATGAGAAAGAGCATGGCGACGCTGCACATGGGACCCCTGGTGCAATGGCAGCCAGCCCCTTGACAGGGTCGCAGCGGGTGCGCCCACCACCTCGCGCGATGCATCTATATTCTTACTCGAAGCAGCAACACAACAGCTCTAGGCTTTGGCTATCATGCCACCCAACCGCGCCAGAGAGACTGTTGCATGCGGTGGCTGGGGTCATTCGCTGCTGTCCTGCTGATGAAGAGCGGTTTCGGTGCGGTTGCCAAGCTGCATCCCGCTTGTGCTGTCAGACCGTGATGCACTGTGACTCCCGGAGACTATGAAAATTTTGCAACTCCCTATGAATTGCCACTTGATATCACGGCCTTCAATAAAACAACCTCAACCTGCTAGTTGGCGAGCGAGCAGCGCTTGTGCTGGTCACTGTTGAGCGCGGTGACATCCCAACCACCACCCGCCAACCAGCTTATGCCCGGTGCAGCCTGTTGTGGGACGTCTGTGTATGTTTCAGTTTACGTTTCACTTCGTGTCTTCAAACGCCAGATCACACCGCCTCACCCCGGTTGGCGCCTTGCGACGCTTGAACACTGGCAAGCTGGAGTAAGAGTCATTCAGTCTGGGGGCGGCCCCGCTGGAGCTGGGCGGGAGCCTGGCCGAAACTATGGGGGAGGCAGGGGAGGCAGCAGTCCTAACAGCAGACGCTGGGGAGTGGGCCGTTGGCTGCAAGGTCACCATCCGGACAGTGTTTGATGAGGTGCGAGGCGTGTGTTTACCGCGTGGGGGGCCCACCGCGCTGCCGCACACTGTACAGCTCGAGCTGCATGCGGCGCGCGCGCACCCATCATGCCTTGTCCCAGGGTCCCCAGGCGCTCAGCATATGCTCATGGCAGTATCGCTGCAAAGGGCATCCCTCAAGCATGCGGCGCAGCTGCAGCACGCAGCGCGTGTGCGTGAGGCTGCGCGGTGCGGCCCCCTGCGGTCGTGCCACGCTGCATGCGTGCTGCGCCCGCAGCCCAGCCCCTCGAGACGCAGCATGCAAACGCCTACACTCACAATGACGCGCAGGAGGTGACAGGAACCGTATTTGCGTATGACGCATCAACCCAGAGCCTGGTGCTGCAGCAGAATGGCAGCCATGGCGGTGTGCACAACCTGCGGTTGTACGCGAAGCCAGCCATCAAGGTGTGCGCGCAGCACTCTGTGCGCCGGTCGCGCCCGCGCGGCTTGTGTGGTGCAAACGTGATGCAGCCGCGGGCAGATGCGGGTCAGATGGGCGGGAGCGATCGCTTGAGGGGCGGGGAAGCCAGGCTTCAGGTTGGGGGACAGGCCATACGCTCACGACTTCAGCATGATCAAGCCGTTCAGCTGGTGTTGTCGCATCCGCGGCAGCAATCCGTACCTTTTAGCGCGCACGCTCATGACCTGTTATAGGCAGGGCTGCTGCGGCTGTAGTGATCGTAGCAGCCACGCTGCTGCCGGGGGCCCAAAACAGCACGGTGCAGGGCGAC